GTTTTATGAAATCTACGGGTAGTACTTTCAGGGTTATCTTTGGGAATAATCAGACCATCTAAATGATGCAGAAATAGGCTGTGATACTGCAGTTCCTGCAGTTTGCATCAGGATTGTTCTAGAATAGGCATCCCCAAAGTCGGTCCTCGAGGGCTGGTGTCCTGCAGGTTTTAGAGCATTCCCCGCTTCAGCACGGCGGTGAGCAACAGTTTCAGTCATTGAAACTCACCTTTTTCACCGCGGTTCTTTCAAAACGGCCAAGGGTCATAAGAAAAAAAGTGTCTATGAAGTTTAAGAGGAAAAAAAAAAGACCTCAGAAGAGTCAGATATATCCCAGAACGCTTTGCACGGAGAGCTCTCCTTGCAAAGAATTATGGGATTTGCTGTCACTACACAACAGTGGCTGTAAATAACAAAGATCGCCTAGTGAACGAGGAGTTATGTGACCAACGGGGGAGTAAAAAAAAGTGATCATCTGTCCGAACGGTCAGTTAACTAAGTTCACTATATGTCCACTATATAGTCCTCGCCCTATATAATTTGGGCCTTTACAAATGAGGGATTTAGGGGTTAAGATGGACGTTCGGACACAAAAAGATTGTATGAGCTATGAGAACAGCATCTTTTAAACAGAGCGCGCACCAGGAGAAATGAGCTTGTGCACACTCTCGCACGTACAGGGTTGTGCCTGTGCATTTGTTTTAAGTGGAGACGGCGGGTCTTTGCAGAAATTCGCGAAAAAAATTCTCCACAAAACCTTTAAACTTCAATTATGAGTCCTATAGGGGTACACAAGTCCAAAATGTATCTCAGAGAACAGAAATGTATGCATGTACACCTTTTTTCTAATATTCAAGTACATTACATTGTTTTAATTTATAGGACAGAAGTGAAAAATGTGGACAAATCAGGACATCCTGTTTAAGGTCCCACAGCCTCAGATTAGTAAGCCTTTCCAGACCTAAAGATGACACAGATTAATGCTAATGTATTTCTTCAGGCTGGGATGGGAAGCTGTCGCTTAAAGATCCTTTAACCTACTTCATTTGTCAGACTTTGAACGTTTCTGGGTCCTCCAGGTCTGACAGTGATCCAGCCTGAGTCCGGCTGCTTAAACTGAACTCAGCTTCTGAAGGAATGTGATTAGTTACAGCTCCTTTATGATGTAGCATCTGGCATCATTACTTTTATACCATAAAAGGATGGAGAGATTATTTGAATGAAGCCATCGTTTGAAATAAACCTTTGATATCTAATTTGATAAAAACATCAAAGCGTCACATACATTTTTTTCCAGCACTTTAATTATTTGAACAAAAAAGCAATAATGTTAACTTTCTTTTAACCAAAATTGCAAGAGTGTTTTTTATTAATCCACTCCTGAAAATTAATATGTTTAATAAATTATTGCTAGCCAAAATTAATCTGAATTTCCTGCCTGGATTTAAACCTCTGACTGGGACAGCAATCCGCATAAATGAATCAAACTTTGAATAAATTATCGGCAGCAGCAAATATGCTAAAAATAAATCAATGCTTAGAAGAATATTTGAATTCCTGCACCAAACGGAGAAGCTGCTGCCAGCATCAAGTGTAAATCATAACTACTGCACAGCAACAAACCCTTCTAGGTTAATGATGACTAATTCTCAAGTGACAATCAGACGTTTGGAAAGGAATTTAAAAAGAAACCTGAACGTTCCAGAACACCTGCAGGAGAGGCTGATGTGGCCGAGTAACAAAAGCAGCGCTGTATCACATATTTCTCTCCTGCACACAACATTTCCTGAAGATCTGAACACAGCGAAGCCATGAATCAGCCCTGAGATCGCTGCAGCCAAGTGCAGGAGTCAGTTCCTGTGGTTCGGGTGCTTCACAGCTGAAGCAAGCGCTGAACTTGACCTCATTATTGACACGAAGTCTCTGCACTCATTCAGGAGAACAGTGAGGAGCTCTCAGATCATTTGGAGCTTAATAACAGCTGCGGTGCCTCAGTCACTCTGTGGACTCGATCTAAAGTAGATTTTTTAGTGATTATGTCTATGTTGATCCCATCAAGTAGGATTATTCTAGAGTGATTAATTCTACTGTTGGTAAGCTGCTGTAATCAGCTCATAATAAAACTAATCTGTTTAACAGCTGACTGACACAAGGTCAATACGCTGCAGAAACCAGCGAGGTAAAAGTAACTCCTGATCATTTCTCTTCTTCTTCATCTCCCCATCTGAACATGACACAGTTTTACAATAGCTGCAGGTTGTAGGGAATTTAAAAATGACTGATGAACAGTTTAATGAGCAACCCTTAAATAAAGGGAACATTGTGATCTTTGAATTTAAAGTGTTCTGCAATTTTGACTTGAAGTGTTTTCGAAGTTTTTTTTCTTATCACACTCAGATCTGCTTATCTGTACTCATTGTTCTGCGGTAATTCACCGTGACGTTTAGCCTCTGATTGCTTCTGATTTTGTTTGTCAGTTTTTTGTGGAGGATCCTGGAGGGTCTGCTGCCGACATTCAAACAACTGCGCTCCCTCTGAATGCATCCAATAATAGCCGGTCTGAGTACTTGGAGGACAAAAACAAGTTTTACCTGCCGGTAAGTGTCAGAAGTGGGAGCTGTTTTGGATATTTTTCCTTTTTTTATTATCATCATTTTAAGCTACAAAAAAAGCAGCTCATAATTGTAAAGTAGAATCAAAATTAGATGCTTTTGTTCTGCATTTTTTCCAAAGCAATCAGACAATTAGCATTTGCTTTCAGCCCATTGCGCTCCTTTCCAGCTTCAAATATTCTAGTGATTTTTTTTTTTTCTTTTATCATTTTGCCCAAATTTTTTAATGATCAGGACTGTTTAAGTCTTAAGATTTTGAGCTGGAGTTTATTTTCAGGCTTTAAACTGTGATTCTGGCTGATGTTTGGGGTTGTTGTCCAGCTAGAAGGTGAACCTAACATCCATACCAAGGCTTTTATAGCCTCTAAAGTTTGCCCTGGTATCCAATCAGCCCTGACTACCTTTGCCTGTCCCTGCAGTGAAAGATTTCCCCCCACAGCATGATGTCGCCACCACTCTGTTTCACTCTTGAGATGTTGAATGGTGCAAGGTGTTGGTGTTTATGTGACACTCACCACGTTGAACCTTAAGCCTGATGATTCATGATTCACTGCCTGAGCTGTAGATGCCCAATTTAACATCATATGCTTAAAAGGTCAAAAACCATGCAGTATTTTTCTGTTCCATTTTACGCTTAAATACAACCTTTTGTGTAATTTCATCATTTCATAAAATGCAGCAAGGTTTTGGGTTATAAACCGGTTAAAATATAGAAAAATAAAACATACATTTTGATATTTTGAGACACAAAAAGAAGAATTTACCAAAAATAAAATACTAAGATTATTGGGAAAATTGTTTGTTTGAACGAAAATTGGCAACATACCGTATGTTCTGGTTTCAAGTCGTAACTTTTTTCCAACGCATTGAACCATGTTGTTTATAAGAAGGATTTTTACCTAACCGTCAAAGGGGGAAGTCAAAGTTGCAAAATGAAAGAATGAGGGGCAAATTTTCATTTAGCACAAGAACATGCTAGCAGCAGACATGACCGAGAACAAATGTCCGGAATTCATACCTTTTGACATTTATTTGCACCTTAAAGCAGCTGAACCAATGAAGAGACTGGGCTAAACTCCTGCAGAGCTGAAATAAAGAGCTGAAGAAGCCCTATCTTTCAGTAGAAGCTCTTGTCACAACCCGATCCGTCCCAGAAGCACGATCCGTTCTGCGCATGCATGAACAGATATACATTTGGGTGTCCATAAATCAGAGGTGTCAAGTAACAAAGTACAAATACTTCCTTAATGTACTTAAGTACACTTTTTAGGTATCTATACTTTACTCCATTACTTTTTTTATCTTCCAACTTCTGACTTCTACTCATTACATTTTCACACAAGTATCTGTACTTTCTATTCCTTACATTTTTAAAACAAATGTTACTCGTTACTCTTGGCTTCAGTTTAATCTTTATAAATATTTATTTCACATCATCATAGATCATTGGCTCCATCCACATCTAGTGAAAACTAGTGTAATTGGATGAGTCATATAACGCAAACACTCATTGGTTAGTTAAAGGAAATCATCAGAAGCAAGCAGATGTTCTTCAAACTGCAAACGTGAATTGTCTATGCCATGCTACAATGTCGGATTCAGAAAATGTTGAAATGTCTGTGAAATGAGCTTTCAATTAATATAGTGGCATCTGGGTGTATTTTTTTTAGGTTACTTTATACTTTCATACTTTAAGTAGTTTTTGGAGCACATACTTTTTCACTTTTACTTAAATAATGAGGTGAATGTTGATACTTCAACTTTTACCAGAGTGTTTTTAAACTGCAGTATCTATACTTCTACTTAAGTAACAAATATGTGTATTTTTGACACCACTGCCATAAATAATGTAATTATGGTACTAAAATAACTTATTTCTATCCTTAACACTAAATAATGCTAATACACATTTAAAAAAAATGTTTTGATGCGTTTTACGATGCGTTTTTTTTTTTTTTTCTGTTAAACTTTCTCTGATATTATCATCGGAAATGTTGATCTGCATTTTAGTTGTTTATTTCTTTATATGCACTATATATCATAATGCTAACATGAAAGGAAAACGTAAAAATCAAAAAGACTAGATTTAATGTATGTCTAAATCCAAACCTGAAAAAGTTAGCTCCCAGAAGTAGCATGGGATCCCATTTCCGGTGCAGATCGGGCAGAGACGACTGATAATACAGAAAGGATTTTAAGGAATGTATTTTCTCAGGAAATACATTATTAACCTTTATCACATTATATTTTAGTATGTTTACTATTTTGGGGGAAGGTAAAACTCAATTTAGGTATTTTTAACAAAATAAAATGGAGGGCGACCTGGAAGCACGATGCATGCGCCATCAGCTCATTTACTCATACGCAGGACGAATCGCGCTTCCGGGGCAGATCGGGTAGTGACAGCTCTTACTGCAGCGAGCCAAAAAGCTAATGGGAGCAAGGGCATATATGTAGAGCTCCCCCTACAGGTTTGATGGGAAACAGTTCAGTAGAAATCAGCAGCTTATAGCCCGGGGAGTGCGCCCTATAGTCTGGAAAACACGGTACATAATATTATGGATATTGATTGTAGATAGAAAAATAAGGCCTGTTCATTTATGAGTAAATGCTTTTGCAAGACATTGTATCCAATAATTGAGCCTGTGTGAACATATTAGTCTAATTTATAGAAAAAATAATCAGAATGCTAATTGAAAAGGGATCCTTTATATCACCTTAACAACTCCAACAACTCTAAATCGTGTATTAAAAGTATTATTAATCTCCAAATCAGTTTTCTATGAATGGTGATTTTAGAAAATGATTTCTTCTGTAATCTCCATCTCCAGTACTTCATCTACTGTTGTATTCTGGGCCTGGTCTCCTGCTCGGTATTCCTGAGGATCAACTACGAGCTGAAGATGGTAGTGATGCTGGTCGCCGTGGTGATTTACAACATCATCATCCTGCAGACTCATGCCTCCTTGCTGGATGGTTTCAACAAAGCTCTGTACCCCACAGACAAGTCCGGCAGGTAACTGCCCCCACCTCCACCCCCTCCCCCACCACCTTTTACATTTACTAAATGAGAATCGGTGAGGAGCTGCAGAGGTCGGTGTAATCCTCCTCCAAACCTGCAGCCTGCCAGCATCAGTTAACCCCAGCCTATTAGGAGAAGTAGGTCTGCAGCAGAGCTGGCATCGTCCCATTCTGCTGTCAGTCGAGCTCCACTGCTGGAAAAGGAGGGATGATGAGTGGCAGGAAGAGATAATGCTGCTGCTGTTGATGGAGAAGGATTCGCTTTTGCATTTGATTGACAACTGGGGTAAAATGGCAAAAAAAAACATGTTGAAAGTTTTCTAAGCACAGAGAAGCTGGCAGATAAGGAAAAAAAAATCATTTCCTTTCCGTTTCTCTTTCCTGCTTTGCTTGGTTAGCGTGAAGGGTGTGCTGCTGTTTCCACAGAAGCTGCCTCTTAAATCTGAGTTTTTCCACATTTCAACTTTTATATGAATCTTTTTTTTTATTTAATAACATAAAACAGTGAATACATGTCAACAAACATGCAGTTAATTGCCTATACCTGGTAACAAACTAATCCAATGGTTTGCACTTAAATCATGATGACCTTCACTTGCTTAAAACTGTGTTAAAAAGCCTTCTTTTAAAATTTTGCATTTATTAATGCATCATATTATTGCTTTAAATGATTCAGAAAAATCCAACCTTTAGTTTGGGTCAATTTATTCAGAAAGAGAAAACGTTTTTACCCTTTTATGGTTGTACTTGCTCTAGTCTATCAGAGCGTTGATGATCTTTAAATGCATCACACATAATATCTTGTTTCCCAGAGGACATAATTAAAGTGAGAAATAAAAACATATATATTTTTTCCATTTTACTGACGTTAAAAAGAAAAGAGAAAAGGCAGATGTACGTTGGTTGTCTCTAGGAGTTCACCAAATATCTATTAGAGGTTTTAAACAACTGTTAAGGAAGCTGGACTGGAGCTCAAAGTATTTGTACACCACAGACTGACGGTTAGTGCTGCACAGAAGCATTTATTCCACATAAATCATCAGAATTTATGGCAATAAATGGATTAATGTTAGTTTGACACATACGCTTCTTGAATTTTTTTTAAATAATGCTTGTGTAATTTAAGCTCTTTGTAAATTGATTGCAAGCTGCACAGTGGTGCAGTGGGTAGCACTGCTGCCTTGTAGCAAGAAGGGTTCAATTCCTGGCTGGAGTTTTTCTGCTTGAAGCTTGCATGATCTCCCTGTGCATGCGTAGGTTCTCTCCAGGTACTCCGGCTTCCTCCCACAGTCCAAAAACATGACTGTTAGGTTCTCTAAACCAGTGTTTTTCAACCCTGGTCCTCAAGGCACACTGCCCTGCATATTTTCATGTTTTCACCTGTTATCAATTGATAGCAGATTATCAGGCTTTGCTGAACTGCAATCATCTGAATCAGGTGTGCTGAAGGTCGGAAACATCAAAAACATGCAGAGCAGTGTGACTTGAGGACCAGGGTTGAAAAACACTTCTCTAAACTCTCCTTAGGTCTGAGTGTTTCAATGGCTGTTTGTCTCTGTGTTGCCCTGCGATGGACTGGCGACATGTCCAGGGTGAATTATATTTTAAAAAGAAATGCTATCAGTGAGTTTGTGTTGAAAAAACAAAAAAAAAATTGTTAATTTAACCTGTCTCAGAATGTAAACACCTCAATGTCTCAGGAGATAAATCAGGCCGATATTCATTGGACGGGGATTTCAACCAGAAATACTATATCAGATGATAGCAGTGCTTAGGATCAATTAGGAGGTTTGATGCTTTGCAAATGGGAACCTAAAGCCTGCTACATCCTCAACGAGAAGTATGACATTTCTTCTTGACCTCAAGGTGGCAAGAACAACAAAACAGTTTGTTTTTGCCTCTGATTATTCCTACTTTACAAGAAGCTCAGCTGCTGAACTCACAGAAAGTCTCGTCACATCAGACCAACCTCACAACTGTCATCATGTGATAAAAAGTTTTACCCAGTCTTGTCATTTACAAGCAATGACAACCCCATAAGGCGGGACGATGAGGTAAAATGATGTCATGGTCTCATGGTTGTGAGAGCGAGAAAATAAAAACTTCTGCCTTCTTGTAGAGTTTATTGTTCTTGTAGAGTATATTGTTCTTAATGCCCTTGTTTCTCATGGAGGAAACATGACAACACTATAACAAGCTTCAAGTCTTTTACATGGTCTTTAAAACTAGTTTAAACTGGTCCGATCGCTAATCTCCAAAGTTTACAAATGGATTTCTTTTATGTGGAGTTGACCTATACCGCCTAAGCAGAGGTGGGGGCCATGGCCACCCCTGGCCAATCATTGTTCACCCCTATGGACCTATCCCTATCAGGGTATTGGTTGGTCCCATATGGAAATAATTCACCACGTCTGGAAGACGAAGTTCAATTCAATTCAGTTTATTTCTACAACACATGTCATCTAAAGACACTTTACAATTTAAACCAGATCATTCAGTCAAATTGATTCTAAGTTTTCTATCTAAGGAAAGCCAGTTGATTGCATCAACTCATTGATTCGAAGGCAATCCCTCACACTAAGCATGCTTGTAGCGACAGTGGAGTGGAAAAACTCCCATCTGCCGAGGCCGACTGGGGTTCAAGAGGAAGTTCTCTTCCAAACCAAAGGGTGGCAGTAGTGATCCCATTATGTAGAATATCCTACTTACAATATTAACCAAAAACTAACAACAAAAATACAGCTATAATGATTCACAACAATATACTAGATTTAAACGCGACTAATACAGAAATCATGTTTTTTTACCAATTTATTTTTAAGTTTTATCTGGGAGATTTTGTCTGTGCAGTCTTCAAGGGTCTTCTATATAATTGATATCCCTTTTGGTTGATTCTGATCAGTAAACAGATTGACTGCCTCTGCTCCTGAGCCACTGATGCCCGAAGGTTCAGGAAGAGTTCATCTAACCCTAACCCAGAGGGTTGCTGGTTCAAGTCGTTTCCTTTGGTGAAAACCCTCATCCGCCTCTCTTGCTGTAGGTGACGCCAGGCTCCTCCCCCTGCCAGTGTGCCCCAGGCAGGCTGTGGCTTTAATGCAACCTAACACCATTAGCATGCTACTGTGTGAATATAGAGCAAAGAGTTACAGTGGGCACTGGTTGGAAATGGACTGTTTCCTGCGTGATTCCTGTGTGATTCCTGTATGAATCACGATGTATTTCCTGAGGCCAGTTTTTTTATTTCAAAAAGAACTGCAATGTACCCGGAACACCACCAGGTGGCGCTTGGGACCTCTGCCGTGCTGAGGGTGACGTTTGTGGGCCTGCAGTCACCTGAAAGGCAGGTTTATTGGGGATCTTGGTGTGATATTGTGCTATTTTATTTTGTTTTTGATTAAAATAAAGTTAATGAATTAATTTAACATAGTGACTGCATAATCTTATTTTATGAAAATGGTTGCGTAGTTATAGATACACCTCCGATCTTATCTGAGATCTGTTTATTTCTATTTATCTGCATCTCTATTATTATGTGAATATAGAGCAAAGAGTTACAGTAATATAACTTCAGGCCATTAACCATTTAATTTGAAAAACTCCAAGAAGTTTGTTTTTTGATTTTTGATAAAACAGATAAACAACATATGGGAAAGCATCCCATACCAAACCCTGTTAGAGTCCATGGTTTTAGAGACGACAAATCGAGAAAACAACCTGCAGACCTAACCTGAAAATGAATAGTGCATTGGTTCACAGGAGCAGAACGATATGCCAAATTTTTTAAATAAAATAAATGGTTCTCAAGACCTAGTGATATATTATTGATGTCACAGTGACGTGGAGGTTTGAAGGAGGACCCAAATGCAGACCGAAGCTAAAGGATGTTACTTGCAGATTTATTATCCAAAAGGGTTCAACGGTCCAATCCAAAAAATGCTGAAAACCAGGAATACTCACAACAAGAAGGGGGCAAAGAAATGACAACAAACCAGCTAAGAGTGACAGAACAGGAGGAGAATATATGGCAGAGAGAAACAAAGACCAGCCTAATTAGCAGATTGGGAGCAGGGGTGAACAGAGGAGGCAAGAAGGGAGCTAGGGAAAAGAAGACTGACACAAATAAGACTCAGAGATAAAACCTGAACAGAACCAAACCCATGACACTCGAATAATTTCACATCATATTCATATGAATTCCTGGATGTAATTCGAAGAGAAGACATGTTGGGTGAGTAGAAGAGAAGTCCGAGGTGTTTGGGCGAGAGAGGGTGTGCAAAGAGTAAAGTCAGATGTAAAATCAAAGTGCTTTCCTATTAGATAAATGAGGCATGTTTATGAAAACAAGTTCTAGTTATATCAGCATTTAAAACCTTCTTATAATGAAATCCTGAAAAATAATCTTTTATTTGTATATTTTTTAGACCAGGTGTGCTGAAGGATCTGAAGACAATGGGCTCTGTGTCTCTGTTCATCTTCTTCATCACTCTACTGGTTTTAGCAAGACAGGTGAGTAACTTTCTCCCACAGAGAAACTATAAAACTTTATTCCTCTGCTGCTGCTACTGCTGCTGCAGTCATAACTATGTAATTAGGTCACGCAGCATTTAAAGATCATCTTCAGCTCCAGCTAAGGAGAGAGGAAACTGGAATCACTTTGATTTCTTTAGACGACGTTTAAAGACTCCTGACATTTGTCTTTTTTGTGTTTTTTTTGCTATTTGATTAAAAATATGACTTCAGTTAGATTTACTATGGGGAATTTGACACTTTTTAGGGGTAACATCAATCATCTCTGAACTGAGAGCAGATGTGCTGGCAATTCTGGACGCATATCTGAAGCTCCCCAGAGAGCTTCATATCAGCTCCTCATGTTCTTCTGGTTCTGGGTCAGGAAAAGAAAAGGCGGTGTTAGTCATCAAGACCCAACTTGGATGTTTAAAACTCCCCTTCAGATATCCGCCCTATCTCCCATCAGAATAATAATTAGAACATAAAAAAACAGGGCTAACTGCAAGGCGTTGCCCTGAGCAGATTATGCAGTGTCCACATCAGCGCTCTGAATGATTTTACACGCTTTAAACAAAGCCATTAACAAATTTTCCCTGCTAAAATCTCTTATCAGCTCTAATGAGGTCTTTCCCAGAACTTTTCTTCATAGGGAGGAGAAATCAGGTTAGGAGAAAAACGGCATCAGTAATTCATCCCTCAAGAAAAGATTGCACAGCGGAGCAAAACTCATTTACAGCCTCGTTTAGCTGCTTTCTAAACGGCATGTACAATGAGCTCCGTTTCTCCTGGCCTACTTTCCCGGACTCATGGAGGTAGCCTCTCCTCATTTACATGCAAGCACAAGCGACAGACATCAGTTCAAAAGTAGGAAACCAGCAAAAGAGTTTTCACTGCATTTATTTATCGTTCAGCCTGCTAACCAACTACATCTCCCAGGACACTCCCACACACAGTATAGGAGCCCACCCACCAGAAACTTCTAGCCTTCAGATATAGACATCATCATCGAACAAGACGCGCAAACATGCAACCTCAGGACATCTTGACCTTCGTATATGAGTCCTCCTAACATATGCAGATGTATTCAAAGCTACCTCGAGCATGAATAACCGAAAAGCACTCAAAAGAAAAGAGAGAACCAGTAGCTATGTTTTATGCAAAACAGTCCTCTCTGCTGCTTCTCACATTGTTTCGCCGTCCCGCTATTGGGACTCTAATTTTCCATGAATATCAAGCATTTCAGTACCCCTGCCTTGTAGTTGCAATGTATGAAAAATGGATTTTAGCCACCTGCAACAGAGAAGCAATGAGCCTAAGCTGAAAGCCACAGCAGGCTGTATTCAGAAACCTGTTCTTATGAGGTCTGAGGTCAGTTTGAATGTCTTCGTCCTCCATTATCCCTAGCTGTAAATGCAGGCTTACAGGAAGCAGGACGTCTTGATAACTTAAAAAAAGAAAAATAATAATCCACCTGAATCAAATCCAGAATCTCTGGTCAGACTTTTAAATGTATTATTAATATATATCCTTACAGAATGACTTTGAGCTATTTTGCATCTAAGAGATGCACGAGGCCGATGGAGACTCGCAGCGGTGTTTTTATTGAAAAGATATTTTAGAAAGTACTGATCCAAAGAGGCTGAATACAAATGCACACCAAAAAATGTCTGATTTAGAATCATAAGTAATCATGAAAAATATGCATCATCTTCCTTTACACAACTATATGCTTCCTTCTGTGTGTCTATATGGGGAAGAAAAGTTAATATATTTGCAGTTTGTCTGAAAAGTAAAAATTATGAACGAACTTTTTTCCATTCACTCAAACATAAACTTCACCGATTTACCAACTGCAGATGAATGAAGAAACTGACTCCACTCAGACTTTTGCTGACGGCATGTTTACAACTTTTCTTAAAGAGCAAATAACTTCTGCCAATAAAACTAATTCTTTCCTTTTCATGTGAAACGGACAAAAGAGAGAAGCAGATTTTGAACACTGAACAGTTCTCTTCATACCACAGGTGTAAAGTATTGCTTTTAAATAACAAAGCAAACTTTAATCATGACTTGTAAATGTTGGAAGAAGTTGGTGAGGACAGCAGAGAGGATCATTGGAGCTTCTCTTCCCTCCATATAAGACATTTCATCCCAGCGTTGCGTGTCCTGAGCCCGTAACATCATCAATGACCCCTCACTACTTTGGGAAGAGGCTTCATAGCATCCGATGCAGGACCAGCAGGTTCTGCAACAGCTTCTTCCCCGCTGCCATCAAACTGTTGAACTGTTGAAACTCTAACTAAGACTCTGCATCACACTTACCTAAAGAAACATAATATTTGCACTACCAAAGCAGGTTTTTTTTTTTCTTTTATAATCCCTTTAAATAGAACACAACTCAATGTTCTACTGCATTTTGCACCATATTTATTTATTTGCTCTGCACTGAACGTTACTATATCAATGCCTTTTGCACCATGACTTTTACATAGGTTCTGATTCTGGCATTCTGATCACTGCTGCACTTTATTATACTAATGTTCTTTCATTTCACTGTTGTAAGCTGCAGAGGTGTCAAGTAATGAAGTACAAATACTCTGTTACTGCACTTAAGTACACTTTTTAGGTATCTATACTTTACTCCATTACTTATTTTTCCTCCTACTTCTGATTTCTACTCATTACATTTTCGCACTAGTATCTGTACTTTCTATTCCTTACATTTTTAAAACAAACATTACCATTACTCTTGGCTTTGGTTCTATGCCATAAAGGAAATCATCAGAAGCAAGCAGGTGTTCTTCAAATATGAATTGTCTATACCATGCTACAATGTAGGATTCAGAAAAAGATGTTGAAATGTCTGAAAGGTCAGACACAGGCGAGAGCGTATCGGGAGATGGGACCAACAGACCTCCCTTATCCATGGCCCTATCTCGAAGAATTTACGAAATAGTCATAAAATTGAACTTTCAGTTTGTATAGTGACATCTGCCTGTTGTTTTTTTAAGGTTACTTTATACTAATACTTTAAGTAGTTTTTGGAGCACATACTTTTTCACTTTTACTTGAGTAAAAAGGTCAAGTTGATACTTCAACTTTTACCAGAGTGTTTTTAAACTGCAGTATCTATACTTCTACTTAAGTAACAAATGTGTGTACTTTTAACACCACTGGTTAGCTATACGCATCGAAATGTAGTTTTGTACACAAAAATGTGTATACAAAATGACAAAAAAGTTTCTCTAAGTCTGAAATTTAAAAATCTTTCACAGAAATTGACTTTGGCAAAACTGAAAGATGCTGATAAGAAAAGCACTTAAGTAAAACTTAACTTGTTTGCCATTATTGGGAAAGTAAAAGTACTTATGTATCTTTATTTCACTTGGGTAAAACAACATAGGTAGAATTAGTTGAAAACCTGCTTTAGCCTTAAGGAAACATTGTATTCAAACTGTAGCCATCAAGTAAAACAACATGTACCCACAACTGTGCCGCTGCCCGAGAAAACTTCTTGCAATGAAATGTGTTCTCTTTGTTTTAGAGCAGAAAACAACTAAAGTATAAGACTAGTTATGCAATTTATCATAAAATCCTACTAGAAGTCGAGAAGGTATTAATATTTTTGCAGATGACTGTTTGTTTAACCACAATTTTTCTCTTTAAATGTGTTTTTGTTTTCTTGGTTTTTTGTCCAAGTGACATCAAGAGGAGGGGTGATGACACAGTCTCTCCTCTTCTCAATAACAGAATGAATATTACTGTCGGCTGGACTTCCTGTGGAGGGACAAGTTCAAGAGGGAATGTGAGGAGATTGAAACCATGGAGAACCTCAACCGGGTCCTGCTGGAGAACGTTTTACCGGCGCATGTGGCCGAGCACTTCCTGGGACGCAACTGGAAAAACGAGGTGGAAAAAACATAATGAGCAAAGTCACTTTACATTTTCCAATATTTCATCATGTTTTAATGTGTCGCCATAGCAATGAATGCTTTCATTTTGCGGGGGAGGGAAGAGGCCGACCCATTGGGTGTGTCTAATTTCAGAGGCTGCGTCCTCCAAGGATCCGGTCCAGGTAGACCGGGTATTGGAGATCCTTAAAAAAAAGGAGGCCGAAAGAGTTTGACTCTGGATTCAGGTCCAGCTTTTACCTTCCCTGACTCATCGTATGCTCTGTCGCCTAGCAACAGTGACAGTTGACACACAAAGCAGGCAAAGCATGGATACCGAACTTCTCAGTATTTTTCTGTGTGCTGATAACATCTTCAAGGAGCTTCAAGAGCAGCACCATCATCACGAATATCAGCTCTATAGTCCCCACACTGCAGGAATATTAGAGTCGTAGGGAAATCATATTTAAATGTAAAATCAATCTGGCTTAAACATGTATATAAATGTATTCTTTATCAAACCATATTTTCCCAAAATTGATAAAAATTTATATTTAAAAAAAAACCCGGCCTAAAAACCGGTTTGTTTTTTTTCGTTTTTTTATGCAGGCCAGTTAATTATACATCAACTTGTATACCTAAATTCGGCCAATAATATTTCAGCGGCCATCTGTCAATCACATTTTTTGTCATAGCAACTTGATTAATATCTTGCAGCTAATATACGCAACGGTTGAAAGCTTCTGCCGCCCTGGCGTCCTTTTCCACAACAACTTCGTCTCTGCTCTCCTCCCCAAATAAAAAATGTATGACTCTCCTCCTCTTGCATGTTTCTGCTGTCCATATCGTTCCTTGACAGTGTTGTTTCCAAGTCACCAATTTAGTGCTACTTGGTCCCAATTGAATTTCCCATTGGGAACCTACTAGCACTAAGTTGCTAACTGGTTAGCAAGATGCTTCCGACAAATCGGCCACAATAAAACTTGCCTGCGAATCTTCTGTCACAACTATCCCGCCCCCTTGATAATCAACCAGTCGCATTCACTTTATTCAGTCGTGTAAAGTCATGTACCACACGGGAGAATTCCGAAATGCAATGGTTGAAAAAGCTGCTTCCCTACGACTTTAAATCACAGCCAAACCCATTTACCCAGTGGATGCCAAAATGATGGAACTTTGCCCAGGGGTGGAGCTACATAGGGGGCCAGAGGGTGGCCATGCCTAACCCTTAGCCAATCATTGGCCCCCTGTGGCCACCCCTACCATTTATTTCCCTCTAATGCAGATGGTGGCAGCAGTTTTTTTGTACGGTAGTTAATTAAGCACATCAGTATACTAACTTTAAAGATGATAATTCATGCTCTTTTCAGAACTAGATTTTGTGTTTTATGAGGTAAAAAGAAAAATTATGTGTCTCATCAAATCATCTAGTAGTCTTCAGTGAAATCATAGATTAATAAATATTTAAATAAAAGAAGTATTAAATAATCCATTTATGTAGATATTAGTATTTGTTAACATCAATTATTATTTTTGATAAAAGTAGGTAAGTAATGACAATGGAAAACCTGAAAGAATTTTATCCACTATACCTTTTATTTAGAAAGCACTGATGTTCAAATATATGTGTCCATTTGTTAGCAAAGGCTGTAGGAAAGTATATTTTGTCTTTATTTAGAAAATATGGATGCTTGTTAATTTTCCTGTTGGAACAGTGTAGATTGACCCTGAGGTTCTGGTGCCTATCCACTTTCTGCCATCCCTCTAACTTTGCCAATCTCTCTGGTCATAGAATCAGCTTTTTGTATCCTTGGCAGAGTCGTTCTAGAAAATGAATTCACTTCCCGTAGAGGTTCCTTAAATCAGCATGAAGTACCTTTGTATTTTTCCGGTAGACTGTGAATGTAGGAAAACAGAGAAGGACCAACACCAGAAGATGACAAAGCAAATGGACTGCAATACTTCACATTGGTCTCCTAGCAACATGGATTCAGTATCGATTAACTTCAGTATCTAATGACTCTTGAACACTGTTTTCACAAGAAATCCAGTCCAGTTTTCAACATACTTAGCCAGGTTAGGGGAATTTAGGGGCTTGAAGGACTGAAATCGACATTTGTAGGCCATAAGTAGATTTTTTTTTTCTCTCTTCATGTTACGACTCCATCCTAAGTCAGAACTTGAGAAGTTCCTCCAAATTGTTAATTGAATCTCTTCTCAGTGTGTTGCTATTTTCCCGTTACTGGTGCACATTCTCCTGCCACACTTTTTTCTTCCACTAAACTTTCTTTGAATAGGCTGTTATACAGAACTCTGGGAATAACCAGCTTCTTTAGCAGTTACCTAAAGTGACTAAAGGGGGGTGGGGGGTCTCTTTTCAATGTCAGCTGTTTCCCTTATGAGTGCGCCGCTTTAGGAGCTGAGGAAACCTTTGTAGATGTTTTAATTTAATTAGCTGATTGAGGTGTGACACTAAGATTTTCCTATATTTAACCTTTTCACAGTATTATTTATTTCCAAGACTCTGGAATCTATAAGCCGTAATACAAGTTAAATTGTTTGAAATGTTTAATTCTTTTTGTGTTAAGTAGAATTTATACATTTTTCTTACTGAAAGAAGCAACAAAAGCATTTTTCTCTGCTTGCAAGTGGCCAAAACGTCTAAAAACTCTCTGTAGTGTTAATGATGAAGAGCTCTTTGGATTCCATAAGCCTCTTTCAGTACTTTTTTTTTTTTGCAAGGATTTCACTTTGCTTTTCAGCTCACTCTAAAAAGAATAAATTTTTTTCTTTCTTCTTTGAGCTACTTGACTCTGACTTCTGAATCTTTCAGTGTCCTAAATTCAAGGGGATGGATCTTGTTTCCGTTTCTTAACCTGAATGGATAAAAACTCACATCAATACAGTTAGATATAAACTAAAAGCTTTTTAGCACCTGTATTCCCAACCATCAAACTTGAGATGCAGATCAAACTAAAGGATCACCCGTGTCTTTCATCCTGTTTCAGATCTTTGTCGATCTGTTTGTTTTCACAGCAACGGCTTGTTTTTTTCACAGGTCTCTTGACTTTTATTTCCTAATGTGTGCAGAGTTCATAACATAATCTGTTGGCCTTTTATTGCAGCTAAACACACTATAGGGATGTAATTGTGTAACAATATATTCCTGCAGAGGCTGGAAATCCACAGAAGTGAAGCGGGTTCTATCTTTTTTTGCTAGATCAAGTCAGAATCTTCCACTTCTGCAACATTAATAATGTTTAAATATCAGTGCCTCCTTTTATTTGCCTTTATTCCTGGGAGGTGCATTTGTAGCCGGAGTTAAATGTGTTGAAAGGCAATCCTAAGGGCTTAGAAGACAATACATTTGGTACAAAGAATAATGAGCGATACTCTGCTTGATTAAAATGTTTTTTTTTTCCGGTGTCCATGATGCCTGGGGTCTGACCGAGCCATGCCTCAGTGAAGTCAAAGGGATTTTTAATGCACCTGGGCCTTTCACTTCAGGCGTTAGCTCTGCCTCGCTTGTCTTCCTCAGTGACCCACTTACCACAGTGGCAGTCGCTCTTGGGGAGGGGGAACCTTGCGATGAAACTCTCAGATTTATTCTATAACAAAGGCTCCAGAGAAGCTCCAGGTTTCCAGTCTATAGCCAATAATCCCTGAACACGCTGCATAGTCTCATCGTTTTATTGGCAGCCCTGATAAAGATTTGTCCGAAGCCTTGAATTAAATTCTTTTATTGCAGCCTCATAAACACACACTGACAACATTATTAAAAAATCTCACATCATATTGAGTTGTTGTTTGATCTGTGGTTCATACTTTGCTAAAAAAAATAGAACCCTTTTTATTTTTCCAGAAATGCAGCTCTTATTCTCCTCTGGATTAAACAGAGGAAGAGATCTGCCTGTTTTTTTAGGTGCTATCACACATCTTCTGTTTTATCCCAAACTCTCCTTGATGTTTGTTGCTTAAAACTCTCTATCAATCCAAGCAGACAGTTCTGGTTCTGGTAGCGTTTAGTGAGCCACTGCATTTCTTTTTCAGTTTGTGAAGATAAGACAGAAATTTGCCTTCCTCCGGCATGCTTTCCAAACCAACCGGCTGGATTATGTGGCATGTATCGGTTGTTATGGAGAGCTGCTGTTTGCCGCAAGCCTTTGAGGTTTTTCTGTGCCTCCTCTACAGCCGTGTTCACTTTGTGTGCTGGCAGGGCAAAAATAGATCCCGCTAACCAGCCAGCGGCTAGTGGAGATGGATCTCTGTGTCCTTTCACAAATATACTGTCTAAAAAGTTTATTTAAGAAATTAAATAGATATTTAAATGTACTGTGGAGGATTTTTTAAAAGAGCCGCCCTCTCCACTTAAAAAAAAACTACAGTACATGCAAGAGCATGCACACGCCCGTTTCTCCTTGTGCACGGCACGCCCTGTTTAAAATGTGCTGTTATATGCAATAAATAAACCTGTTTAAATGTAAAATTTTTACCATCTGTCCTCCAGATTGCTTGCAGATTTCTTTTCTTTATTCTCTGTAGCATTCGCAGCAAAGTCGTAAAAGATGACCCCCTCTTGATTACAGCTCTCACCTCTGCTCCGTTCTTACTAAAGTGAACTCTTCTCTTTTTTCGGCTGCCACAGGGACCCAGCGTCCCTGCAGGGATGATTAAAGCTCCTTCCTATTTATTTAACGTCTAAGTGTCAGTGTTCAGAGTGAGCCATTTGGGTCATGGGCCCACTGAGACCACAGGCCATTTCTCTTCATCTTTCTGCCATGGGTGCTTGTTCGATACGGCTCATCCAGCTGTTATCTTCTTCTTGCTTGTTATCAGGACCTTTATCATCAGTCGTACGACTCGGTGTGTGTGATGTTCGCCTCCATCCCGGACTTCAAAGAGTTTTACACCGAGTCTGATGTCAATAAGGAAGGACTGGAGTGCCTCCGACTTCTCAACGAGATCATAGCCGACTTTGATGAGGTAAAGCCATCTTTTACTGATAATCTTGGCTTTCTGACGAGTAAAAAAGACAAAGAATGATTACTGACCTGTTCTGGGGAGGAGTTGCTCACTCTCGTAATGCTCCTAAGTGGAAGGAGCACAAAGCAAGGCGGTCATCTCATTAAATTTTCTGCTGGGTTCCTTTTTTGCGCTCACAGCTGCTGTCCAAGCCAAAGTTCAGCGGAGTGGAGAAGATAAAGACCATCGGTAGCACCTACATGGCTGCAACCGGGCTCAATGTAACTCCAGGACCAGAGTCTGCACAAGTAAGCCTTTCCATTTTTGCATTTGACAGAGATTTGACGTGATAAAACATTTTAACGTGAAAGGCGAGATTACATGGTTTTCTTAAACTCTTAACACGTTCAGTCTGACTTCTGAGTTGCTGCAATTTAGCAAAAAATTGTTTCCTCTACACCTTGGAAGCGAAGAGAAAAATCCCCAAAACACCTGCAGCTTTTAATTGCAGCAAAGGTTGGTTTCTCCAAAGTGAGCTGAATTTAAATGATCTCCAGACTTCACAGTTTTACTCTATTTTGTGCTTCAGGGGTTTATAACATACAAATCCCAACTGCAAATGCTGAAGTTTGTGGTTGTGATGAAAAGTTGCACGGCTACGAATGCTTTCAGAGACACTGGATTGAGAATGAGGCTGGCCGGCAACAGAGGGCATCTGTACAATAAGATTAAAGCCACTTCTTCTACTTGTGGCTTTTTGAACGCACGTCTGACAAGCCCTCGGACTCTCCCCTTTAATTAGCTCTAGTTGCCGAAGCCACAATAAGGAGCATTAACGGCTTTTCTCACACACTGAAAAGCCCTGTGTGGGTAGCTCCATGAAATCTGCCACCGGCATCATTCATCCATCAGTGATTTATTGCTACCCATCTGAATGCATGCAGCCAATATGAGCAAATAGCTCAGACATAAAGCAGCTCAGGGCGAAAAGATCCGCCTGTTTGCTGAAAATCTGGCTTAATTAGGTGTTCACATAGCCTCGCCTCCTACTGTTGCTATATCAGTTAGACTTTTTTTTTCCTTTTTCTCATAATGTGCCAACAAGGCAGATTTATTTAACACTATTTTGTATCTTTTTCTTAAAATATCTGAATAACTCAACTGAAAAAGAAAATAATCTAAAATCTGTGAGGAAAAATGAAGAGTCCCAACTCTTTAAACAAACAATTATTGACAATGAATCTATTAGACTGCTAGGACAACTGGTGTCCAAAGCTTTCATCCGGAAACAATAAAAGTCTTTCCACACTGGAAAAAACGATGTAGAAATAAGTAAAAATGTCTTATATTAAGTGTATTTACATTTAATTTGAGTAGTTAAATAAGATAGTTTG